TCTCTCTCTCTCTCTCTCTCTCTCTCTCTCTCTCTCTCTCTCTCTCTCTCTGTCTCTCTGTGTGTCCATCTCATTGCTCTATCTGTTCCCCCTCTACCCCCATCTCTTGCCATATCTCCCAAGTTCCTCCTCTCCCCTCTGTATCTGTCTGTCTTCATTCCACCCTCTCTTCCCCCCTCTACCAATCCTCAATGACGTCTTTTGATGTAAAATAGAAAAGACAACAACTATTGAAGCTGCAAAATCCAGGCTCACTTGTGAAAGTTGCCCAAAATACATTAAAAACAGCAGTTGCGTTAAAAGTCTCAACACGGGCATTCAATATAAATAGAGAACAGAAACCATTACAATGTTGCATTGTGCGTTGTGCTTTACTTAAGGGGCCACATTTGTACATGTGTCGAAAATGGAAGAGCTTGACCCTATCGCCGGCAGAAAATACAAGAACTTAATAAGGTAAAATAGAACTTGAGCCCTCCATGAGGAACTGAGTTGACCTATAACGCACATTCGAGGCCTTCACTCTTAGTAAGGCCTCTTGCAGGTCGCTGTTATGTCACAAAAACAGTTCTAACTTATTTTCATTGACGAGACAACATTGACGTCTGCGTTGAATGAAATCTCATTACACAGGGGTTTTCAAATTAGGATTTGCTATACAGAACGTACGTTGACCTCACTAAAGTCCTGTCATTCGTGATTGATCAGTACTTATTGATCAAAACTCGAGACATCTGGATAAGAGAGGGATTTCCGACAACTGATACTTTGTGCTGGCGCACCCAATGTTACGGCTGTTCTTAACTTACCTGTCGGACATTAGCCGTATCCCAGCGCAAGCCACGCATGCTCTGTTCCTGGCTGTCTTCCACGCCCCTAAACTGTTTCCGGATGTAATCTTCATCTGATGTCAGGGCAGAGGAAAATCCAAACAAAAAAATAAATAATGTTGTTGAAATCAAAGGTATCACAGTGTAAATGAATGTTGGAAAGATTATGTTATCTTGTAATGTATCTTTTCAACTTTTAAAAAAATATTTTTTTGCCCAATCGTGTTCTCGTACTTGTCTCTCCTCTCTCTTTTCAAAGAAACATCATTTTATTTTTATTTTGTTCTGTCTATCTATCTGTCTGTCTGTCTGTCTGTCTGTCTGTCTGTCTGTCTGTCTGTCTGTCTGTCTGTCTGTCTGTCTGTTTCTCTGTTTGTCTGTCTGTCTGTCATCCTCTATGTTATTATACATGTACTTCACTTTAGCAAAAATATATAATCACACGCTACCTCTAACACAAAACACACACACAGTTATACACACACACACACACTCACACACACACACACACACACACACACACACACACACACACACACACACTCACATACACACACCACACACACATACACACATACACACACTCACATACACACAACACACACACACATACAAACACACACAAAAACACACACACACATACAGATAGACATCTGCTCTTCCACACGCGTTCCGATTCATACAGTCTCACGCACACAAGGCCATCCAATGATCAAGTTTCAGTAACTTGGGCGGTATATTATGATTCTTGAACCGCTTGTCCACTGTCTTGCGTGGTTAGTCGATGACAACGACTATTTATGTGGAATAGGGAAAAAGTTGATTTCCCAGAACGGAGATTTGGGTTCTTAGGTTACGAGGAAAATTGGTTTGCCCTGTCACGAGACGAAAGACAGGGATACAACGTTCTCGGCTGGTGAATCGTAAATAGGTAGTTTGTCTCTATGAGGAAAAAAAGCCGTCACGAGTTCGTAAGCGAGTGGTCTATATTATTTCGTAGAAAAGTAGACAAAGAAAAAGAAAAGGGAGAGTGACTCGGCAAATGTCTCGGTAACTGTCGGAGATACCCAAGTGGGACCTTTCTTAAGTAGAAAATCAAGCTTTCAGCTGTGGAAAGTTGAAAGTCGACAGTTTAAGAAAGGATTTTCGCCCCAACACCAAATCTGTTTTCTAACCTGGTTTACAATTTTTTTTAAAGCTAGTGATTTGTCCGCTTCCCCTAAAAGTCTGCATTGTTTACGGATCAATGAGCTGCTAACATTTTACTTCTCTGAATTGCACCTCACCCTCACTACTCATTGAACAAAACAAGCATGCAAGTAATACTGCCACAGTAGCATTGCCTCAATAAACAATTAAAGGGGAAAAAATCCCCGCCAACCAACAACAAAAAT